CCATGTCCAGCACTTCCGGAGGAACGCCATCTACAGGCACCCTACCATCATACATCACCAAGCCAACTTGCGGTGGAATCACCACTGTTGGTCCCAACGAGTATGAAATCTACACCGGAGGAAAACCCGATGACACACGATCCGGCCTAGACTCCTCTGCACCAACTGAACGAGTTTATCCAGGACAAACTCGTCCAATCTCTGGATATCGATCCATGAAGTCGCAGACCTACCGTACGACATTCGAAGGAACCACCAAGATATCCAAGACTTCGCAACAAACCAAATTGAAACGAGATCTTCATCAGCATTTTGTTGAAAACGGACTAGACTCCATCACTTACCTTCCTGATGCGAACGGAGCCACCACATCAGTCATTCTCTCGGCCGACTCCTTCTCTCAAGAGACTGCCCTAGCTGCATACAAGACAATGCTCCCAAAATACGACAAATACTGCATCGCCAACGACAAGGACGCAGCCAAGTATCTTCTCAATGCCGTTGACGATGATCTCAAGGACACCATCGAACTCTTTCACACCGAATCCGACGGGTTTATTGCTGTGTGGTTTTCTCTCTTGGCCAACATCACTGACAACAACATTGATCGCAAGAAAAGCTTGGAGGACGAAATCAAGTCCATCACCGTCTCTCAGTTTCCGCAACAGAACCTCAAGTCGATGGTAGCCAAACTCAAACCCATCTGTGATGAACTTGACGCAATGGAATCCTACGAACCCGACAACAGTATCCATATGCTAGACAACTTCTCCTATGCAGGCAGTGGCACTGATCCATCCAATCCTCACACCATGAGATTCCGATCAAAGATCATCACACTTCGAGACAAGCTCGACGATGCCATCACAACTTGTCGCAACATGTCCAAAGCAACAAGGGACACTCACCTAAAAGGCCAAGGACTTCACTACACCCAACTTCTCAAGACCATCTCCGACATCTACGTCAAGCTCGAGCACAACAAGACCTGGCCTCCATCCATGACACCTCTAGATTCTCGAACACCCGCAGCCCTCAACATGGCAGCTCTCAAGGACAGCCTATCACCTTCCGTGGCCGCGCAATTCGAAGCCTACATTCTCCAACAAAGCAAAGGACGTCAGCCACCTGATGAAGACAAGAAATCGACGAATCCAAAGCACGTACCTCCTACTCCATCCATGACTCCCACGGAGACCATCGAAGGTATCAAACACTACGTTCAAGACATCAAAGGAGTCAAGAACAACTGGTGTGGTCGATGCCGCCGTTGGACCCCTACTCATTGGACCTGGATGCACGGTCGCAAACCTGACGACAAACCCACTCCAGTTACACCTGCTTCAACCGAATCCCATCTACTGATCAACAAACAAGACAGCAGTGGGTCAGATGACGACACGTCTCTTGAAACAAACCTTGCCTCCTCAGGATTCAAGTACGTCTTCTACCATATGGAACTTCCCCGGCCAACACCTGCCAAAATTTCGGAAAGGATCTCCTCGCCAGAGATCCTCGATGAGGCACCATCTTCCAGCATCATGGACAAGTCTTACCTCTGGTCCTACCTTTGGTATACGTTCCAGGTTGCCATTCTTGGATTCAGCCTATTCGGTGCATTGTTGTGTACCACGACAACCATTGACGCTCTACCCGGTCTCAGTGCCCTATCAGCCTTCTTCCAGGACATCCCGCGCCTTGTTGATACCTACACATTTACTTGGCATGCCATCGCACCACTTCTTTGGTACCTCATCTACAGCCTCCTCTTCATTGGACCCGATCGCTTTGCCGCTCCTACTCCGGTTCCTCGACACATCCGTCGCCAGATTCAGCGGCACCTATTCCGTGAATCGCGTCGCAAGCCTCGTGGCATCCAGAAGCCTTCCTTCCGACACCCTCGCTACCAACCTTCCCGTGCCGATTGCATCCGCCGCTTTCATGCTACCACTACCTTCTTTCCTTCCTCCTTTCATACCGTTTCAGAGGGAGAACCAGCATTCCCAGTCATTTGGGATTCTGGAGCTTCCGTGTGTGTATCTCCACACCTTGATGACTTTGTAGGCCCTCTCGGCCCACCACCATGTTCATCCACCAAAGGTGTGGGAGGCCCAGTCGAAGTAAAGGGAACAGGAAATGTCAAGTGGACTTTCAGGACCACGGACAACTCCTTCAGAACCATTATCCTCCCTGCCGTCCACATTCCTACAGCAACGCAACGATTATTGAGTACAAGTTCCCTGTGTCAAAAATACCCCAACGAGACACTTACCCAAAATGCCGACGGCATGATCCTATCTGGAGAAGTACCAATCACTCGAGCCGTCCAAGCAAGCATCGACAACAGCAACAACCTTCCTACCTCTTGGTCCTTCCGACATGTCACCAAGCCCATCAACGACAACACTACCAGCGACGATGCTACCGTCTGCGCCAACAACATCTCCTCCGATCAATCTTCTCCAACACCTACTGATTGTTGCTTGAAACGCTCGTCTTCCACTCGGCCAAGCCACCATGCCACCATGCAGGCCGCCATCTCAGAAGTGTGCAATCACAACATCAATCTCAATAATGGTGATCGGGAATGGCTCAAATGGCACCAACGTCTTGGACACCGCAGCTTCGCTCTCATCCGCTACATCATGGGTGCTGGCACTCTTGCAAAAAGCCAACGAGCTCGAGCACTCCACACTCAAGTTTCAAAACGAGTCGAATGTCCCAAATGTGCAGCCTGTTGCTATGCCAAGGCCAAACGAAGATCACCTCCCAAACTACGTCGTTCCCAAGGACACATCAAGGATATTCCCAGCACTCTTCGAGACAACACCTTATATCCTGGACAAGAAGTATCCGTGGACCACCTTGTATCATCAGTTCCTGGACGCACCTATGAGGGTTTCGGCAAAGGTCACAAGTCCACAATGTTCAAAGGGTCAGCTCTATTTGTCGACAATGCAACCGGATACACCTACACTCACCATCAAAGGTCCCTCAACACCCATGATACTCTCCGCGGCAAGGAAGCATTTGAGGCTAATTGTCGTGATCTTGGTGTAGTGGTACAACGATATCGAAGTGATAATGCTGCCGTATTTCACAGTCATGAATACAAACTTCATCTCGAATCCTTCTCGCAGACTCAAAAATATGCTGGGGTTGGTCAACATCACGCAAACGGCATCGTCGAAAAGTCCATTCAGGACATCCAATCAACCGCACGAACCATGCTGGTACATCTTGCTATCCATTGGCCAGAACAAGCTGATCTTGCATTATGGCCAATGGCAATCGATCACGCCGTCTTTCTGCACAATCACCTTCCTGACCAGACTACTGGACTGTCCCCAATGGATAAATTCTCCCGCCAACGATGGCCACATTCCAAATATCATGACATCCATGTCTTTGGCTGCCCCACCTACGTCCTGGACAAGAAACTTGCAGATGGTAAGACAATTCCAAAATTCAAGCCACGCTCCGAACGCCATGTTTACCTTGGTTTCAGCCCATTTCATGCAAGCACAGTCCCCTTGGTACTCAATCCAAGAACTGGGTCCATCACACCTCAATTCAACTGCGTTTTCGATGACTGGTTTGCAACCATTGCTACCAGCATCGAAGAAATTCCTACATTCCTTGAGGAGCATTGGCAGACCCTCTTCACCGACTCCGAATATCAGTTCCCAGCCGACGACACAGACCCTCCAGCTCTTGCCACCATACCTGTTCAACCGCCTCCGCCCCCTGCATCTCCTCTGGATACTTTTGATTCTGCCTCCAGCCCCTACATCACTGGCCTTCCAGACCTATTCGAACCTCGCAGCCCGCCTTCTACTTCCAATATTCCTTCTGTTCCGACCTCCCAATCTTCGCTTGAGAGGGAGAGAGTGCCTGTTGCCCCCATGCAAGCAACTCCTCCATTAAATTCGACGACCGATTCCTCGAATCAGAGGGAGCCAGAGCTTCCATCTCAACAACAGAGGGAGCAACAAGCTCCATTGCCTCGCCCTACACCAAGAAATAAACCAAACGTCAGAAGCCAACCACCTCTACCTCGCGAACGACCAATTGAAGACTTACCTTCCACCCATCAATTCAGTCCCAACTTACGTCGCAGCACCAGATCAACCAAAGGTGTTTCGGCCCCCATTCTTGATCCAGATCCGTCCCAAAAATCCTACTCAAGCAAGGTCGAATACTCCTCCCATCTCAGCGAACTCGACCAATCCATCAATCCTGACTTCAACGACGTCGAAAATCTACACTCATTTCCCAAAGACACACCATTTCTGACGGCTGAAGAGTTAGTATTGACACCCAAACACGAGTCATACAAGCGATTCTCAACTCAACCAGACACTGACGATGGAGGAATTGCCGGTTTCTACGATCTGCACTTCTCTTACCTTGGATACAAACTGGAAGACAAACCCAACTTTGTCTTCATGGACAGCCGAGCTCCAGCTGATGTCATTGAATTCCTCAAGGCTGCCTCAAGCGATCCCGACATCTTAACCTGGGATGAAGCAATGAAGCATCCAGAAGAAGCTGAACAATGGCGCAAGGCAGCGTTGAAAGAAATTCGAGCCCTCGAACACAAACGCACATGGCTTGAAGCACCTGAGTCCAATGCAACTGTTCGTGTTATTCCAGGAACTTGGGTATTTCGCCGAAAGCGACTGCCAGACGGAACCATTACTAAATTCAAGGCTAGATGGGTACTACGAGGCGACCTACAAGACCTAGACATGGACACCAGAGCCGACGTCGTTGCTTGGTCTTCCGTACGAATATTCATGGTACTAAGTCTGAAGCTAGGTTGGGTGATGAAATCAATTGACTTCACAAATGCATTCCTACACGCCCCATTGCCAAAAGAGCTACCTATGTTTGCTCATCTACCTCGAGGATTCTATTCAAACATGCGAAGCATCACTGGAGAACGAACAGTACTGAATCTACAAAAATCTTGTTATGGAACTACCGTGGCCCCTCGATTATGGTTCGAACACGTCATGAAAGCCTTCAAGGAACTTGGATTCGAAAGTTCACCCTACGACAAGTGCTTTCTCATTCGTAAAGACATGATGATCGTGGTATATGTGGATGATTGTGGTATCAGTTGTGATAAGCCTGAGAAAATTGATGAATTGGTCCAGCAACTACGCGACAAAGGCTTCGATCTTGAAATTGAGGGCGACTTTGAAACCTTCCTTGGAGTCGAAATCGAAAAGCTAGATGACGGGCGCTTCCACCTCAAACAAACAGGACTCATTGCCAAGGTTTTAGAGGCTGCAGGTCTCAGTGACTGCAATGACAACCATGTCCCAGCAGGTCCCACACCTCTTGGCAAGGACGAAACCGGTGAAGACTGGCCCCAACATCCTTGGAAATACAGCTCCATTATTGGCATGCTTATCTACCTTTGTACAAATACCAGGCCTGACATCAGCTACGCAGTTTCATGTGCCGCGCGCTTCAATGCTAAACCCAAGGCTTGTCATGCCACCGCCGTAAAAACCATTCTTCGCTACCTCAAAAAGACATCCGACAAAGGGTTGATTATTGAATTTGATGGAACATTGGATTTGGAGGCATACTGCGATGCTGATTTTGCTGGACTCCACAAATCTGAAGACTCCTTTGATCCTGCTAGCGCCAAGTCCCGAGGCGGATACATCATCTTCTTTGGAGGCGTTCCTCTACTCTGGAAAAGCTCCCTTTTGTCATGTATCACACTGAGCACTCTGGAAGCCGAATACATGCAACTATCTCGCACCATGACCGTCCTCCTTGGAATCAAGAATACTCTTGAGGATCTTCTTCCTCCTCTTGGACTACAAACATCCAACCGCTCGATCACCTCTACCGTCTTTGAAGACAATGCTGGAGCTCTCCTTCTGGCAACTGAACAGCGCATCACTCCTCGTACCCGCCAGCTCCTTGCAAAATGGCACCACTTCTGGTCCTGGATTCGCAAACCTTCTGACGGACCCCCTCGCGATGCCAACAGTACTTGGGATGATGGAAAAATCACAGCGAAGAAAATTTCAACTGAACTACAACGCGCCGACATGTTCACCAAAGGCCTAACTCGAGTCCTTTTTGAACGAAACCGCAAAATGATTTGTGGTTGGTAACTGTTCTCGTTTTGACCTGTTCTGACACCTTCGATCTTTCCATCAGAGGGAGAATCAGAACATATATGTATATATGTCCTGTGATGCGTCACGCGAATTGCGTGACACGTCATAGAGAATGTGACTTTCAAGTTTGTCCCTGAAACTCACAAAATAAATCAACAATTGCATTCACAACGGATTTTCGCGTCAGATGATGAAACCACATCAACTATGCGGACAATACACAATGAATGACAATAACCGGATATGTATGGAAGATCTAATATGGCAAAAATAAAGGATAAGGATCCAATGTGGCACAAGCATAACGACTGGAATCACCCGTCTTGCCTTTCCAAGATTGTCGGATGCATCGACGTAGTCGAGTTCGACTGGATGTGGATGCCAAGTGCGTACGTTGCAGATACCTTGGCAGTAACCTTCAAGGCAACAGGACTCTATATGATGGCGCCAGCAGTTCTGATTCAGAGACAGACTCAGACAGCAGTTCTGATTCAGAGACAGACTCAGACAGCAGTTCTGATTCAGAGACAGACTCAGACAGCAGTTCTGATTCAGAGACAGACTCAGACAAAGAGGACGCCCAACGTTCCAATTCAGATTCAGAGCCAGACTCACAGTCAGATACAGGGGGAGAAGAGGAAGCCAATGAATTACCTAAGAAAAAGTGCAAAATCATATAGTAAAAGTATTCATTAATGGATAATATATAAAAATGATCCGTATGACGGATCATCTGACGGATCATTTGGGTACATTTTCACGTACGTGAGTTTGACGGATCATTTACGGATCATTTGCGGATCATCTCTGGCCGTACCATCCTGTAGAGTTAGGTACTAGACGGATCATTTCCCAGATTTCACTTCACCCTATCCACGAGTTTCCAAAATCACCAAAATGACAATCAATCATCATATTTTGCTGGAGCACTTGTTACCCATACAAAGCATGTCATACAATGAGGTCTTTTCCCAGTCGAAAATCAAATGGATGTGAGTATCCCAATTGTTTTAAAAGTTACAATCGACAAAGGTTCTCATTGAGATATCGTCTGATTCCTTTTTTTGCCAATCTTTTGACTTCCAGCAAATTCAGTTCCATGGCCGTGGCTCAAGATCGACGTGAAATCATTGACAACAATCAGCCAGCAAACCCTACATCAATATCAGGTGGTCCTAACGATCGATTTGGTTCTACATTCGGGCAAGAACTGATGGTTTGTCGAATACTTTTTTGCAACAGAGCAGAGATTTGGGAAAATAATCGGAAATTGAAGTCACAAGGCCATCAATCAAGAACTACGTCAAATCGAAGACAACAACCAGCCAAGGACTTCACCAGATATATTTGGTGGCGCTAACGATCGATTTGGTTCTACATTAGGGCAAGAACTGATGGTTTGTCAAATACTTCTATACAACAGAACGGAGATTGGGAAAAATGATCGGAAATTCCAGTCATGTGGCCATCAATCAAGAACTACGTCAAATCGAAGACAACAAAAAGCCAAGGATTTCAACTACTATATATGGTGCTGCTAGCGATCGTTTTCGTACTGCATTTGGGCAAGAATTGATGGTTTTACGAATACTTCTATACAACAGAACGGAGATTGGGAAAAATGATCAGAAATTCCAGTCACATGGGCATGTTTCAAGAACAACGTCAAATCAAAGACAACAATCAACCAAGGATAACAACGGCAAATCGAAGACAACAATCAACCAAGGATCTCAACTACTATATTAGGGGCTGCAAGCGATCGTTTTCGCTCTACATTTGGGCAAGAATTGATGGTTTTACCAATACTTTTATACAACAGAACGGAGATTGGGGAAAGTATTCGAAAATTCCAGTCACTAGGCCATCAGTCAAGGACCACCTCACATCAAACACAACAACCAGCCAAGCAACAGCCAGCCACACATTTTAATTTGGAATTAGGCCCACAGTTCAACCAATACCAGTTTTGAAGCAGAACTTACCATTGTTTTGACCCCACCAATTAGCCAATGTATGCTGGGTCTAGGCGGAATCCATGACTAAATCACATACTGCTCAAGGCTCAAGGATTGAAAGAAGCGACTGGTGTACGGCGTTAACCAAAGTTGATTCCGCCTTTGGCCACCAAAGAGGACAATTGACATGGGTAGTCAATCTCGGCCTGTCGAGATAACAAACGCTGACATTACCAAAAGCCCTACAAGGCATGCCCGAGATGGTAGTGAAAGGGCATGGTACGTATCTGCCTATTGCCACGACAACATCGTCATCATCACCTTCTTGACTATTGTCGGGCGCAGGATCACCTTCTTGTACTTCGTTGTCAACGTTCCCTTCTGGACCATTGTCAACGTTGCTTCCTTGACCATTGTCGGGAGCAACATCATCACCTTCTTGACTATTGTCGGGCGCAGGATCACCTTCTTGTACTTCATTGTCAACGTCAACGTTCCCTTCTGGACCATTGTCAACGTTGCTTCCTTGACCATTGTCGGGAGCAACATCATCACCTTCTTGACTATTGTCGGGCGCAGGATCACCTTCTTGTACTTTGTTGTCAACGTTCCCTTCTGGACCATTGTCAACGTTGCTTCCTTGACCATTGTTGGGAGCAACATCATCACCTTCTTGACTATTGTCGGGAGCAGGATCACCTTCTACTTCGTTGTCAAAGTTCCCTTCCGGACCATTGTCAGCGTTGTTTCCTTGATCCGGGGCGTCGTCAACATTGAAGGGGTCGCCTTCCCCTTGAGGATTGGAATCCTGAGCCAATCTGACATCACCAATATGACTAGCCGCCGCGGAATCCGCAGGTATCCTATCCTGCAGACTCCTGATGATGGCTTCCTGCTGTCTAAAGATCTTCACAATATCTTCTGGGTCGCCGTATTGCTTTACATGAGCGTCAAGAAGTGTATCCATTCTTCTTAGTTGTTGTTCGTACCGCACCAACTCTCCTACAGTATCATCATTGTGTTGGTGGGCAATGTCGGCATGCGCCTTCATTGTTTCCAATGCCTTGTTAAGCGCACGAAATTTGGCATGACTGTGTCTCTCTGGATCTTGCTCCAGCACACTACACCGATCCTCTAGAACACAGGTTTGGCGTACTAGCTCCTTGATACAACGCCGCTTTGTTGCAACCATTTCATCGTTGGCATTTCGGAGCTCCGCCCGTAAACCATCGAGGTTCTCTTCGTCTCGAGAACGCTTCTTTGATGCTTCTTGCAGGGCCGCCCTAGCTTCTTTGAGCTCCTCATTAGCTCTTTGTTGCTCAGTTCTGCTGCTGTGTACCTCCGCCCGTAAACCATCAAGGTTCTCTTTAGCTCTTTGTTGCTCAGTTCTGCTGCTGTGTAGCTCCGCCCGTAAACCATCGAGGTTCTCATCAGCTCTTTGTTGTTCAGTTCTGCTGCTGTGTAGCTCAGCTCTGCTGCTGTGTAGCTCCGCCCGCAAACCATCGAGCTCCTCATCAGCTCTTTGTTGTTCAGTTCTGCTGCTGTGTAGCTCCGCCCACAAACCATCAAGGTTCTCATCAGCTCTTTGTTGTTCAGTTCTGCTGCTGTGTAGCTCCGCCCGTAAACCATCGAGGTTCTCTTCGTCTCGAGAACGCTTCTTCGATGCTTCTTGCAGGGCCGCCCTAGCTTCTTCGAGCTCCTCATTAGCTCTTTGTTGCTCAGTTCTGCTGTTGTGGAGCATATCGCACATGGAGCCGTATCCAGATGCCCCACATGTGACAACCACGTTTGGATCCTTTACCCGTTCCACGTACATAGGAAGGATTCCAGCATGGAACAATACCCACCTGGTGCAGTACTGACATGCGTACCAACTATCGGAGGGCCCCGTTAGAGTTGACGTTCCATGTTTGAACGCCAAATAGAAGAAACGTTGGATATTCTCCAGTGCCGGCTCCTGGAGGAGACTATTGTCGAGCTCTCCAGGAATACAGGCGGCCTGCACAATTAGGGATAACAACATGGGGACGATCTCCCGTTCTTCGGCGGCCCTATGAAACTGTGGGGCTGCCATGCAAGCGTTTTCCGTTGGAAGAACCTTTCTTACAACGCTGAGAAACGCGCTGATGTTGACCTCTGGGGACTCAAAAAGCGAACGGAGTTTGAGTCGGATCTTTTGATCGTTGGCTTCTCCCTGTAATGATGACAATATTTTCTTTGATATAGACAAGTTGCGTCCAAGGTTTACTTGTAAGCGCTTCCACTTCACAAGTGTTCAAGACTTCTTCTAATGGTTCGAAAGGCTCCGTTCTCTTGTCCGTCGCCATCACCAAGTCAGAGCACGAGCTTTCGGAGTAGAACAGCCATCTTCCGTATGTTTCAATTGCTTTTTCGATTGCGCTGTACTCCATTTGTCCTTCCAAGTCAGTGTGTTCGATCGTTTTTGTTGCAATCAAACTCAATGCACTGGTGAACTCGGTGGGCTTTCGGTAGGCATCTGGCTCGCCCTCCTTATCTAAGAGAAAGCAATTGAATTGAGCCACCAGTTTTGTCAAGCTTTCCGTGTTGGCTAGCAGCAACGTGGCCATCCTCTTTTGTTGTGATGACAATTTATGATGTCCAAAAAATGCTGTTGGGTGGAGTACCGCGCGTACGTTAAAAAAAGACGCCGTTTTTTGATGTCCAAAAAATGCTGTTGGGTGGAGTACCGCGCGTACGTTAAAAAAAGACGCCGTTTTTTTACTGACGACCAATGCTGATGGCTCGCTAAAACCAAACTTCCACAACAAGGGACGCATTCAACAGCAATAACTGGGAAAGATGTCAGTCAAGCTTTCCGTGTTGGCTAGCAGCAACGTGGCCATCCTCTTTTGTTGTGATGACAATTTATGATGTCCAAAAAATGCTGTTGGGTGGAGTACCGCGCGTACGTTAAAAAAAGACGCCGTTTTTTTACTGACGACCAATGCTGATGGCTCGCTAAAACCAAACTTCCACAACAAGGGACGCATTCAACAGCAATAACTGGGAAAGATGTCAGCCGCAACATTGGAAACAATATGGAGAAAGCGAAAGGATGAGCGCTACAAATTTGACATGGAAGACATGCTTGAATTAATTGGAAGGAAGAAAGGGGAAGCCGAAAAACAGAAATATCGGCAACAGTGCCGTGATGCCAGCGCCCTAAGAAAGGTGTTCAGGCGGAGTCTCCACCCCGAAGACGAAGTGATCCTGGCTTACTTGAAAGAAAAGCAGGAACGGAAAATCAAAGAACTATTTGGCCATGAGTATAAGTTGGAAAGGGAAGTATGCCCAAAACGTCAGTTGGAACTACTCATTCAAAAGTCATGGGCATCCAAAAATATTCTAGCCGACCTCTGGTGGAAGGGTTTTGAGGTCAAAGACATGCTTGAATTAATTGGAAGGAAGAAAGGGGAGGCAGACAAACAAAAATATCGGCAACAACTTCAGCCACTCCTCACGGTCTACCAGTGGATTGTTCAAGACTGTCAGGCGCTTGACCGAAAGCATGCGTTGAACAACCTTAGGTAGGTCAGTGGGACCCATATCAAACTGGTTGTGTATCCCGTTGTTGACCTGTTGGCTGCGCTCTTGTAACTGTACATTGTCCTCCGAGTGTTGTACCGAGTTCCGATGTTCCCACAACTGGAAGCCCAGCAAAATCAACTGATGCGAGAGGCGTGAGGCCCATAAGGTCGGAGAGCGTTGGCTCCCGCGCGACTGCAGATATTCCTCCTGCAACGGGGCCCATTGATGGGACAATCTTCCTTCCAATAGCCCTTGGTAGCCAATGCATTGCTGGGATCGGAAGGCGCTGCGCAGTCGACCTGGTACCACTCGGATGGACGGTAGGGATGGATCGCGAACCCCTTTAAGGAGGGAGAGGAGGGCATGTTTGATGGCCGGATCTGTCACTTGGGTGTCCAGCCATGAATCCAGGGCCACTGTCCGGCGATCCCATTCAGCGCTGGTGGATGGAGCCATACATCGAGGTACGTGTAGGTGATCTTCGAACTCGCCACAGCATGGGCATGCAGCAGATGTGTCATATCCCCATCGTACCTTAAACTTGCCAACACCGCACATACCCACCACGTGCTTTGTGGTCCAGCGTTGGACGCCCGCTGGGAGAGATCGCATGGCCCGGGCCAGACTGGTCCAGTCGGTTTCCGACTCCGCCTCTGGGGTGACCGTGAGTTTCTCGCGCCACCTCTTGCGGAGGGCGGGAAGCGCCACCAGCTCTTGGATGTAGTCTGGGTCCAATCGAGACTGCTTAACGTCTCCGATATAGAGAGCGGCCAACTCAGTAAAGAAGCGAGCATTGGGTGCAATCAACTGATGGCGGTATGCCACTGCCCAATTATCCACTTCAACATTCCTTTTGGACCACCAAGACAGGGACGAAAAGGGCGTAGCGTGGTCAAGGTGACCATACACATGACTAGGCTCCCACGATGCTTTGGAGCGCGCAAGGGCCTTGTGGAGGGAAGAGACCAGGTCAAACTGCGCCTGGTGGGGAGAGACTCGATTATCACTAAAGGTATTGAGAAGGGCGGAAAACCCATCACACGCTATCCTTACGCGGGGTTTAGAATGGAGCATAGGCGCCCACTGTTGGAGCAACCAGTCAACAACCATGATGCCTGCGAGCAAGCCGATCAGTTCACTCCGATAGACGCTTTGATCCTGGGGCAATCCGGGAGTCTGGCACCGAACAATGATGCGGTCCTTCTCCCCTTTTCGTGGGAGTAGTTGGACGGACGCCGTTCCCAGGGCTCGCTTGTATGATCCGTCGCTTATCACGCAAAGATGACCAGAGAGTAAGGCCTCCACCAGCCGTCCTTCATCACCGACAATCTCAAGTTCGTTGGGGGTCCATCCAAAGTACTCGTCAACTTCTGCCGAAGCTGCTTCCCAAGCAGTGAATAATGACGGGTGGAGGACAGGTCGCGGAGACTGATGCTCCAGGCCCACCCCCGAAATCACAAACTCCTCTACCCCATGCAGTGGCTGGGTTGTCACTCGGCATACATCATCTGGGAGTGGCTTGGTCCAAAAGGGAACCGACGGCGAGGGGGCTTCGGCGACGTCAAGGGCTGCTATCGGTCGTTTAATCCCAGCCGTCCTGTGAGATGCAGGCCGCATGTGGAACCTCCAGCTAGAGGAGTAGGAACCTGATCGGTGACCGTAGTGTCTCCAAGCGTGTCCATGACGATGAAAGACGCCATGCGTTGGGGAGACCAGCCAGTTCCAGTCGTCGATAGGGTCAAACCAAGGGCCCAACGGTTGGCGGAGCTGATGAGAGGGGTCATCCGACTGCAGAAGTGCCCGGGTCAAGGTGTCCTGCCATAGACGCCAGTGATTCCGGTTTGGTCGAACTGTCCGCGGCCCTGGGGTGACCGTGAGTTTCTCGCGCCACCTCTTGCGGAGGGCGGGAAGCGCAAACAGCTCTTGGATGTAGTCTGGATCCAATCGAGACTGCTTAACGCCTCCGATGTAGAGAGCGGCCAACTCAGTAAAGAAGCGAGCATTGGGTGCAATCAGTTGGTTAGAAGCCTCCAACTGATGGCGGTATGCCACTGCCCAATTATCCACTTCAACATTCCTTTTGGACCACCAAGACAGGGACGAAAAGGGCGTAGCGTGGTCAAGGTGACCATACACATGACTAGGCTCCCACGATGCTTTGGAGCGCGCAAGGGCCTTGTGGAGGGAAGAGACCAGGTCAAACTGCGCCTGGTGGGGAGAGACTCGATTATCACTAAAGGTATTGAGAAGGGCGGAAAACCCATCACACGCTATCCTTACGCGGGGTTTAGAATGGAGCATAGGCGCCCACTGTTGGAGCAACCAGTCAACAACCATGATGCCTGCGAGCAAGCCGATCAGTTCACTCCGATAGACGCTTTGATCCTGGGGCAATCCGGGAGTCTGGCACCGAACAATGATGCGGTCCTTCTCCCCTTTTCGTGGGAGTAGTTGGACGGACGCCGTTCCCAGGGCTCGCTTGTATGATCCGTCGCTTATCACGCAAAGATGACCAGAGAGTAAGGCCTCCACCAGCCGTCCTTCATCACCGACAATCTCAAGTTCGTTGGGGGTCCATCCAAAGTACTCGTCAACTTCTGCCGAAGCTGCTTCCCAAGCAGTGAATAATGACGGGTGGAGGACAGGTCGCGGAGACTGATGCTCCAGGCCCACCCCCGAAATCACAAACTCCTCTACCCCATGCAGTGGCTGGGTTGTCACTCGGCATACATCATCTGGGAGTGGCTTGGTCCAAAAGGGAACCGACGGCGAGGGGGCTTCGGCGACGTCAAGGGCTGCTATCGGTCGTTTAATCCCAGCCGTCCTGTGAGATGCAGGCCGCATGTGGAACCTCCAGCTAGAGGAGTAGGAACCTGATCGGTGACCGTAGTGTCTCCAAGCGTGTCCATGACGATGAAAGACGCCATGCGTTGGGGAGACCAGCCAGTTCCAGTCGTCGATAGGGTCAAACCAAGGGCCCAACGGTTGGCGGAGCTGATGAGAGGGGTCATCCGACTGCAGAAGTGCCCGGGTCAAGGTGTCCTGCCATAGACGCCAGTGATTCCGGTTTGGTCGAACTGTCCGCGGCCCTGGGGTGACCGTGAGTTTCTCGCGCCACCTCTTGCGGAGGGCGGGAAGCGCAAACAGCTCTTGGATGTAGTCTGGATCCAATCGAGACTGCTTAACGCCTCCGATGTAGAGAGCGGCCAACTCAGTAAAGAAGCGAGCATTGGGTGCAATCAGTTGGTTAGAAGCCTCCAACTGATGGCGGTATGCCACTGCCCAATTATCCACTTCAACATTCCTTTTGGACCACCAAGACAGGGACGAAAAGGGCGTAGCGTGGTCAAGGTGACCATACACATGACTAGGCTCCCACGATGCTTTGGAGCGCGCAAGGGCCTTGTGGAGGGAAGAGACCAGGTCAAACTGCGCCTGGTGGGGAGAGACTCGATTATCACTAAAGGTATTGAGAAGGGCGGAAAACCCATCACACGCTATCCTTACGCGGGGTTTAGAATGGAGCATAGGCGCCCACTGTTGGAGCAACCAGTCAACAACCATGATGCCTGCGAGCAAGCCGATCAGTTCACTCCGATAGACGCTTTGATCCTGGGGCAATCCGGGAGTCTGGCACCGAACAATGATGCGGTCCTTCTCCCCTTTTCGTGGGAGTAGTTGGACGGACGCCGTTCCCAGGGCTCGCTTGTATGATCCGTCGCTTATCACGCAAAGATGACCAGAGAGTAAGGCCTCCACCAGCCGTCCTTCATCACCGACAATCTCAAGTTCGTTGGGGGTCCATCCAAAGTACTCGTCAACTTCTGCCGAAGCTGCTTCCCAAGCAGTGAATAATGACGGGTGGAGGACAGGTCGCGGAGACTGATGCTCCAGGCCCACCCCCGAAATCACAAACTCCTCTACCCCATGCAGTGGCTGGGTTGTCACTCGGCATACATCATCTGGGAGTGGCTTGGTCCAAAAGGGAACCGACGGCGAGGGGGCTTCGGCGACGTCAAGGGCTGCTATCGGTCGTTTAATCCCAGCCGTCCTGTGAGATGCAGGCCGCATGTGGAACCTCCAGCTAGAGGAGTAGGAACCTGATCGGTGACCGTAGTGTCTCCAAGCGTGTCCATGACGATGAAAGACGCCATGCGTTGGGGAGACCAGCCAGTTCCAGTCGTCGATAGGGTCAAACCAAGGGCCCAACGGTTGGCGGAGCTGATGAGAGGGGTCATCCGACTGCAGAAGTGCCCGGGTCAAGGTGTCCTGCCATAGACGCCAGTGATTCCGGTTTGGTCGAACTGTCCGCGGCCCTGGGGTGACCGTGAGTTTCTCGCGCCACCTCTTGCGGAGGGCGGGAAGCGCAAACAGCTCTTGGATGTAGTCTGGATCCAATCGAGACTGCTTAACGCCTCCGATGTAGAGAGCGGCCAACTCAGTAAAGAAGCGAGCATTGGGTGCAATCAGTTGGTTAGAAGCCTCCAACTGATGGCGGTATGCCACTGCCCAATTATCCACTTCAACATTCCTTTTGGACCACCAAGACAGGGACGAAAAGGGCGTAGCGTGGTCAAGGTGACCATACACATGACTAGGCTCCCACGATGCTTTGGAGCGCGCAAGGGCCTTGTGGAGGGAAGAGACCAGGTCAAACTGCGCCTGGTGGGGAGAGACTCGATTATCACTAAAGGTATTGAGAAGGGCGGAAAACCCATCACACGCTATCCTTACGCGGGGTTTAGAATGGAGCATAGGCGCCCACTGTTGGAGCAACCAGTCAACAACCATGATGCCTGCGAGCAAGCCGATCAGTTCACTCCGATAGACGCTTTGATCCTGGGGCAATCCGGGAGTCTGGCACCGAACAATGATGCGGTCCTTCTCCCCTTTTCGTGGGAGTAGTTGGACGGACGCCGTTCCCAGGGCTCGCTTGTATGATCCGTCGCTTATCACGCAAAGATGACCAGAGAGTAAGGCCTCCACCAGCCGTCCTTCATCACCGACAATCTCAAGTTCGTTGGGGGTCCATCCAAAGTACTCGTCAACTTCTGCCGAAGCTGCTTCCCAAGCAGTGAATAATGACGGGTGGAGGACAGGTCGCGGAGACTGATGCTCCAGGCCCACCCCCGAAATCACAAACTCCTCTACCCCATGCAGTGGCTGGGTTGTCACTCGGCATACATCATCTGGGAGTGGCTTGGTCCAAAAGGGAACCGACGGCGAGGGGGCTTCGGCGACGTCAAGGGCTGCTATCGGTCGTTTAATCCCAGCCGTCCTGTGAGATGCAGGCCGCATGTGGAACCTCCAGCTAGAGGAGTAGGAACCTGATCGGTGACCGTAGTGTCTCCAAGCGTGTCCATGACGATGAAAGACGCCATGCGTTGGGGAGACCAGCCAGTTCCAGTCGTCGATAGGGTCAAACCAAGGGCCCAACGGTTGGCGGAGCTGATGAGAGGGGTCATCCGACTGCAGAAGTGCCCGGGTCAAGGTGTCCTGCCATAGACGCCAGTGATTCCGGTTTGGTCGAACTGTCCGCGGCCCTGGGGTGACCGTGAGTTTCTCGCGCCACCTCTTGCGGAGGGCGGGAAGCGCAAACAGCTCTTGGATGTAGTCTGGATCCAATCGAGACTGCTTAACGCCTCCGATGTAGAGAGCGGCCAACTCAGTAAAGAAGCGAGCATTGGGTGCAATCAGTTGGTTAGAAGCCTCCAACTGATGGCGGTATGCCACTGCCCAATTATCCACTTCAACATTCCTTTTGGACCACCAAGACAGGGACGAAAAGGGCGTAGCGTGGTCAAGGTGACCATACACATGACTAGGCTCCCACGACGCTTTGGAGCGCGCAAGGGCCTCGCGGAGGGAAGAGACCAGGTCAAACTGCGCCTGGTGGGGGGAGACTCGATTATCACTAAAGGTATTGAGAAGGGCGGAAAATCCGTCACACGCTATCCTTATGCGGGGTTTAGATTGGAGCGTAGGCGCCCACTGTTGGAGCAGCCAGTCAACAACCATGATGCCTGCGATTAAGCCGATCAGTTCACTCCGATAGGCGCTTTGATCCTGGGGCAATCCGGGAGTCTGGCACCGACAATCTCAAGTTCGTCGGGGGTCCATCCAAAGTACTCGTCAACTTCTGCCGAAGCTGCTTCCCAAGCAGTGAATAATGACGGGTGGAGGACCGGTCGCGGAGACTGATGCTCCAGGCCCACCCCCGAAATCACAAACTCCTCTACCCCATGCAGTGGCTGGGTTGTCACTCGGCATACATCATCGGGGAGTGGCTTGGTCCAAAAGGGAACCGACGGCGAGGGGGCTTCGGCGACGTCAAGGGCTGCTATCGGTCGTTTAATCCCAGCCGTCCTGTGAGATGCAGGCCGCATGTGGAACCTCCGGCTAGAGGAGTAGGAACCTGATCGGTGACCGTAGTGTCTCCAAGCGTGTCCATGACGATGAAAGACGCCATGCGTTGGGGAGACCAGCCAGTTCCAGTCGTCGATAGGGTCAAACCAAGGGCCCAACGGTTGGCGGAGCTGATGAGAGGGGTCATCCGACTGCAGAAGTGCCCGGGTCAAGGTGTCCTGCCATAGACGCCAGTGATTCCGGTTTGGTCGAACTGTCCGCGGCCATTGATATGGAGACCGGTGGATGCCATCACGCTCTCCGCACCAAGCCGACTGGCGGATACAGCGTCCATCAGCCGTGACAATATCGGAAACGGTGCACACTTGAAGGAACATACGACACCAATTGAGCCATTTCAGGTCGTCTTGGTCCACCTCCAAATCCATAAACACTTCCACCAGCAGAGC